CTGATATACGACCCCCAGGCTGAGAACAACTGCCGTTCTAGAGTAAAATGCCTTCCGCACTTTCAACTGTGCTGTGGCAGCCAATAGGAAACCAGTATTTACTTTGTGAAGGCTGGGAACATAGCTCAATGGTAATTAAGGTACCTCGGGTACCATGGGTCCCGGGGTCCACTGCCAGCATTGCAAAGCAAACCCAACTAAAACATGTATACCCACCTTTGAAGCCACTCACCAAAAATTAACTGAACTGCTTCTTCCTTGGTGGGAAGCCCAGAACAGTCCTGGGGCTCGTGTAGAGACTATCCTTAAGCCTTCACACTGAAGGCCGCACTGCGGGAAGTGTTGGCGTACACCCTATAAACACAGTACTCACTGCGAACGCCACACATGCTCTCTGTAATTATATGCTGGCTTCTGCTGCTTCCTCGGCAACAACTGTTGGTTCGTCTAGCTCATGTCTTCCCAATAAGGCTCCTTATTGGCCAGAGTCTGGGCCTCACTCTCAGAAGGGACTGCTTGTCTGCTAGCAGAACCCTGGATTTGGAACTGACAGTCCTGGTTTCAGCGCCATACTCTGCCACTTAAAAGTTTGTGGCTATGGCAGAGGCCGATATTTGTCCATCAAAGCCTGCCATCCCCTTAAGGCAATATAAGCCTAGGTTTTAAGCACGACCCCTGCACTTAGAATGCACACACTTCCCAGCTATTCTTGCAGTTAAGTATGGCCATTGTGCCCAAGTTCAAGCCAATGAGAAGAAATGTTCATACCTTCCAATAAGTATCCTTAACGTCCAAGATTCATCTCAAATCCTTCATTAATCCTTTCCTCCCTCCTGTCGGCTGGAGCCAGAATGGCCATACTGAACCCTGAGGTAATACTCAGAGTAAATGCCATGCACAGGAAACAAGCCTGAAGGAGCCTGGGACCCAAATACTGGGCAACACATTAACCTAGCCAGAAATCCATTTTAGGCACGTTGCTTCATCTCCTTGGACTTCAACATCCCCATCGATGAAAGGATGGGATGTACGGTACCTATTGCCTGAGGTGGCCTTGAGGACTGAGGGATAGGCTTGGTTCACCTCAGGACTGGAGTTTACAGAGCTGGGATTACTGTTGCTATAGCAATAACTGGAGCCCTGCTTCAATGGACAGTATAGCAAAAGGGGCAGAGCACAGCCCTGAGTACAGACAGGTGACTCAAACTGCTTTTACAGTCTAAAGATGCTATTGTTGGGATGGTAAATGACCCCTTTCCATCCAAAGGTTTGGGCCACAGGGTGGTGGTATTGAAAGAAGGCACTGTTCAGAAGTGGGGCCTGATGGAAGTCTTTGGGTCACTGAGAGTAAGCCCTTAAAAAGCACAGTAGGACCCAGTTCCTGCCCCTCCTTTTACATCCCTGGCAACGAGGTGTAGTTCTGCCTGGCCCACTGCTTCGCCACCATGGCGCGCTCTCTGCCCCAAAACAATAGAGCCAACCCCTAAAGCTGTAAGGCCCAAAGGAACTTTTTCTAGGTTAGTTATGTCAGGCATTTTGTTTTGATGGAAGGCAGACTACCAAAGAGGCGTCCTGGCCAGGCCAGTACTCCCGACAAGAACCCCTTTCTCCAGCACCTTCTCTGATGGTACTCACCCTTCCAACAGTGTAAGAACAGTAGTGCTGGCTCATCATCCATCAATCATGATGCCCTTCCCTGCTTTAGAACCCTCCCCTGAATGATGTCAACCCCTCCTCTGTCATTTGCTCCCTCTTTCTCCTCTGTCTTTGATCACCACGCTCCTGCCTCTGAGTTCATGCCTATCAGTACATCAAAGTTTCCTGCCATCTCTTTTGGAAGCACCCTCTGGCCTCTCCCTAATAACTGGAAGTGAGTGAGTGGAAGTTCATCCCACCCTGTTCTAGCACAAGGCTTCCCAAACCCTACGAATCGTGTGTGTGTGTGCACTGGAGAACACAATGCCCGCTAACCCTCTGCTAACCCTCCGGATGCTTTGTGTGCATGCCGGTGGCTCATCTCCCGCGTTTCTCACTAACACTTCCAAAGCTACTTCATCATACCTGCAACATCCACACTGGTCTGGGAGGTGTAAGTCTTCATGGTACACAAAGCTGAACCGTGCTTTCTGTGTTTACAGCAGACATGCATCTTTCCGGAGTGGCCTCTTCCCCTTTAAGAAGACATAACCCTTCTTCTCTTCTGCCACTGCCAGTTTTCCATGTCAGTCACTCACACAGGCTGTGCCCAGGCACATGCCAGTGACCCCATCTCTCCCACCCCATCCCCTCTTCTTCACACTCAGATGAGCCCCCTGCATCTTCTGACCCTCTGGCACCATCCATTCCTGTCAGCGGAGATGCTGCTGTTCACCAGACCAGGCCTAAGATGCCTTTGGAAGCGACACGAAACAGTGGTAGCAGCCAATGGCTGCACACTGGGAGAGCCATGGGGGACAGCAAAAGAACAGAACACTGGGCAGTCAGAAGAACAGGGACAGACACTGGCATTATCAGTGTCCTGAGCAGGCAATAAAAGAAAAACCTGCCAGGCAGTGGTGGCGCACACCTTTAATCCCAGCACTCAGGAGGCAGAGACAGGCAGATCTCTGTGAGTTCGAGGCCAGCCTCGTCTACAGAGCAAGATCCAGGACAGGCTCTAAAGCTACAGAGAAACCCTGTCTCAAAAAACCAAAATAAATAAATAAGAGGACCCTGAACCAAACTCCACACCCTGGCAAAGAACTGGAGCAGAAATGTGCAGGCCGGAGGTCACACACCTCACAGTTCACCTGAGGTCCCCAGCACAGACGGTTACGGATTTTCTAGCTCAAATCGCCGGTTCTGGAAGCTGGTCCTTTGTCAGTCTCACAAGCACTAAACCTGGCTCAACTTTTGTACAGTTTTATTCCAGGTGTGTGTCCAACACAGGCTCCAAACCACTGGATTCTTTGCTGTTTTAAATTCACATTGATCCACATTACACGGCAAGAATGCTGACACACGAAGAGGACCACGCCAGGCGGCAGCAGGAAAGAAGACTGACGTGTGCGTCTCCCGGATTAAGACAGAGCTCCACAGTTCCAAACTCCACTTTCACACACATGCAGCCTTCCACTCCAGGTGCCTTTTATAGCCACCGGGAGACTCAGCTTCCTCCAGGGCTCCTCTTTGTACACTAGGGCCGGGGTGGAGGGAAGATGGCAGCACTCACTGGGTGCCAGGGTCCCAGCTCCCTTCCAAAGAGGGACCCGGAGAGTGAACAGCAGGGGGACCAGCAGGGAGCCTCACATCTCTTAAACAGCTCAAAGGGAGAAAGGGAGGGAGGGAGGGAGGGAGGGAAGGTACTAATGTCATAGTTCCATTTTCCCCTTGGTGGCTCCTTCTGTCCTGAGTCCCACCCATCCATCCCCACAACCATATGCCTGGGAAGTGGGGCAGGAGTGGGGGTGGGGCTGTTTGTATCCTCGAGTCCCCATGAATTACTAACTGCTGATTCAAGCTGAGACACAATGACAGATCCCGCACAACACCTATAAACACAGTCAAAGAGACCAGCCAAGGGAAACCGACCTGCTTGCTTTCCTGTACCTGAGCACACAGGAGACCTGGGGATCCTGCATCCCAGCAACAGCACAAAGGGACTAAACTCTCGGCCAGCCAGAGGTGTGCACGCCTGGGCATAAGTGCACTAGGCAGGCAACGGCTGGCACTTCCGGACTCACACACTCGCTCCTCAGCTCAGCCGAAGACTCCACTCCCACACCGGAGGAGAATCTGCCGTCGCTCCTCCAAGGTGGTTACCCGACTCAGCCTGTACCAAGTTCATTCCCCACCGAATGAACACACTGATTATGAGTTTCAAACACGGTGCAAGGCAGTCAAGATTTTTTTAAGGACATCTTACATCTCTTAATTGCAGACTTAGGATGTTTTATTGAGATTCAGATGTCAATCAAGATGAGGCTGAGATGGCAATTCAAGTCTCTAACTCCAAAGTCCACCCTCATTCCACACACCTGTCAACATTCGTAAGGGCACAGATAATTCAGAGACAATCTCCAAGCATAAATCCCGTAAGTTCAAGACACCTAGAACAGAGAAGCAAAGGGCCAACACCGACAACTTCTCCGAATGCAGAGGGTACAGTCACACCAAGGAGCTAGGGGGTGTGTCCATCCTCCAGGTCTGAGATCTGGTAAAGGAATGCGCTGGGTGCCGGCTATCAAGTTTATTATAAACTGACGCATTGGCAGATACACGGTGGGGATGTGCTTGAGGCAGCACAAGAATGGGCAAGGGGGTGGGGAAATCTACAGTGGAGATGAGAGCCTTAAGAGAGGCGTCAAGGGCTCACTTCTGAGACCACAGTTTCTTCCTCCTACTCTGAGCCTTCAGACTTTCCTCTGAGGGTATGAAAACCAATCCTCACGTACCCCTTGCGGGCAGCTCCAAGGTCCCCAGCTTCACCTCCTACGAGGACCATGAGCTGGGCTTCGTTGGTACTGAGACACAAAGCTAGTGTCTTCAAACACATTTAGCCTACAGACTTCTTTGGCAAGACAAAGCCTCCCTTCAACCCCCAGCCCACCCACTCCCACTTCCCCCTCCAAAAACAACAAAAAGAAAAGGCACCGTCATTCATCAAACCACCTCTCCCAACAGGGTGAGAATTATGTTGTAACTTCCCTGGAACCAACATAGACCAACACAAAAGTGAAAACCCTGGAAGCCTCAGCCCACACACCAATCCCTAAGCCACAGGGGCTTCACCCAAAGGCCCAGGGCAGTAAATACTCCTGCTTAAGGACAACCCGTATTTCACCATTCTTCCTGGGTCAGAAATGGACCCTCTTGGTATACTTGAATCCACTCTGTCACACTCTGGCTACCCCTTGTTGTCCCCCAGAGCCCGGTGTTGATGGGAGAGAACCACAAGGAATTAGCAATGGGAGCAGGCTAAACTTTCACAGCAGCCATAGAACTGATCAGCAGTCACTTACCCAGCACAGCCAGACAGCCCAGCACTGGGAAAAAGCACTTCATTTCGGCAGCCGCAGCAGGAAGAGGACACGGCACAGGGCACCGTGCTTCTCCCACCGCCTAATCTCTCATTACTGCCAATCCACTTATAGCTCCAGGGAACAGTTTGGAAACAGAACTTCACCAGGGAAAACGAGATCCAGTCAACGACAGCAGGAGAGAGTTGGGGGCAGGGGAGGGGAGTGGCATAGGCAAGAAGAGTCCTCCAGGCTAAAAAGGCAGGGTCCAGAGTGATTCCAAAGGCGCTCTAGGCTTCTGCCACATTGTATGCCTTGCAGTCTCCACCGGAACTGTGGAATCTAGTGGATTAATCCTCAAGGAAAACGGTTGGAAAGAGAGTCTGCGAAAACCCTTTCATCCGTTGATTATACAGAAATGTCCTTGGCTTTCGCAGTGAAGGTGTCTGAGATCTCTCATTCGGATCCCCCGGAGAGAACTAGGTAGGTTTTGTCAAAACCTTGGCCAGTCAAAGCACCCTGACTGGTAAAGACACTTCGGGTTTCTTCATTGAAAAGTCCATCTCCATCCATGGTGATAGGTCACGGTGCTGTCACCTGCCCCCAAACCTCCCAGATGCACACGAAGTAAGCTGGCATTCAGTAGACCGGGAGCGGTCCCACAAAAGCCGGCAGATTTCTAAAACAAACACAGCAGACGTTTATCCAAGGCCAACACAACCGCCGCAAAACCAAGAGAGGCCGAAGCGCCGGGTTGGCCGAGCCACCCGGGTCCCCTCCCAGGGTTAGGGGCAGCCCGCGTGTGCATCCTGACCTTGTACAAGTCTTACCTTCCCGTGCCCTACGCCTCAGTTTCCCCGCCCAGAGCAGGGCAATTATGATTGTTCTCAAAACACTTTCACCAAATGCCTCTCACTCGCGGGCTTTTCCCGTCGCGGTCCACGGAGCGGGGCGCGGCGGGCAGCCCCACCCTCGGCAGCGCGGGTCGCCACGGGGCTGGCACGGGGCCGCGACTCGGGGCGCCGGCCGTGGGAGCCGGGGCGCGCCGCGTCCCAGGTGGCCCGCTATTGTTTTACCTCCCCGGCGGTTGATTCTGAGACGCTGGCAAAGAAAAGGCACCGAGAAGAAGGGGGCCCGGGGCTCCCCTCGCCGACCGCCGAGCCCGCTCCGCGCACGCCGGGTTGAACAGAGGAAGGGGCTTGGGCCCGGAGCGGGACGCCGATCCCCACGCCATGCTCCCCGCGCCCCTGAAACCCGATCAGCGCCCGCCCGCGCTCACCTCGCCCGGGGTCCCGCAGCTCCCAGCGGCCGACAGTCCGCCCGTACGTGTCCCGCACGCCTCCCAAGACGCGCAGCTTCCTCCTCGCCTCCCGCAGCGGCTCGCGCTGCCCAGCTCCCGCCCCGCCCCAGGCCCCGCCCTCCAGCTCCGGCCTGGCCCGCAGCTCCCGGCGTGGCGAGCAGGGGCGAGGGCGGTGGCCTCATAGGGACCCGCCCCCGGTTCGCCCCGCCCACCGCCCCGGAGCTCCAAGGCTGAGCCGGTGCGCAGCTGCGGACCACCTGGTCTGAGCTAATGGAAAGTTAACCCCGGGTTCGCGCACCGTGGCCCCTTACCAAACCCCAGGCTCTAGGGTCGCGTTTTTTGCCCCATAAACAATAGCAAAGCGCTTTGCTGAAGACTTAAATTTGGTTTTGTAGTGAACTCCCACATTGTGTTTCACTCTAGTACAGAATCTGGACCCCGAAAACAACCTCGGCTCTTGCCCAGATGCCTCCACTTCTTAGCTGGGGGCCTTAACCTCGGTCTTAACCTCCCTGTGCCTCATCTAATACGAAGAGGAAATAACCCCCGCTTAATAGGATTGTGTGAGATGTCCACGTCGCTCTTGTAAAGCACTTAGCGGAAGGCCTCATATGTCAAAATCACTCAGTAAAAATGAACAGTCATTATTTTAAAACAGTACTCGCCATGCAAGTGCCTCCATATTTATTCGATATTACCAAACGCAAAGTGCTAAAGCGACTCATTACAGACAGAGAAAGTCAGATCATACGGCCATTTGAGGAGCTCGTTTTCTATTTGGGGACACTAGCATGAGTCCTGCATCACTGGAAAACGGGGTCAAGGAAGGCCCCCAACCCTGTGTGTTACGAGGCGGGATGCTGGGCAGGATGGGGCCAGCATCTCCTAGAGAAAACAGAGCAGAATTCCTTGGAACAGAATATAAGGGCAGGGAGATACAGAGGCCATCACAGGCCCTGGGAACACACCTTCGGAGGCCCAGAGGGGGAAAGACTCAGTACCTACAGCAGACAGCTCTGTGGGCCCCTAGGTGGGCTGGAGGGAAGACTGGCGAGAAGGGAATCTGTAATAAAGAATCAGAAGTTAGAAGGGTGAAAGACTGGGCCTTGGGCTTGGGTCCAGGGGACTCCCTTGAAGGGTTGGAGTAGGGAACTGTGGCTGACAGTTGTGTATTTTATAAAACCACTCAGCTAAGGCATGAAGGGATTTTCTGGAAGACTGAAGAAGTCATGGCTCAGGATGGCTGAAAAATCCAGGAAATGGAAGTAAGCAAGACCACACACGCAGCTACAGGGATAGAGTGGGTGGAGCAGGCCTTGGGGTCACTCCGTGGGATGTCCAAGTGAGTGAGAGAGAGGCTTGGTGACTGAGATCAGTACTCACCGGATCAAGATGAAGGTTTGAGCTTGAGATATGCAAGCAGCATCTTGATTGGATAGCCATGTCCAAAGAAACAACCAGCCGATTCCAGAACTCCAAAGGACTTACTGAATTGTATGGGAGCAAAATACTGTACTAAAAGAAGACATGCGGAGATGGTTTGCTTGGTAAAGTGCTCCCTGTGTAAATCCCCAGAACCTGCTTGGGGACAATGGTCTTTTATCCCATCACTTGTATTATTTTTAATAAAATGCTGATTGGCCAGTAGCCAGGCAGGAAGTAGAGGCGGGCCAACGGCAACCAGGCAGGAAGTAGAGGTGTGACCACGAGAATTTTGGAGAATTATGGGAAGAGGAAGTTTCAGTCTGCAGTCATTACCCAGACACAGATGAAGCTAGACACAGAGCAAGCAAGATGTGACTGCCTTTCTGGAAAAGGTACCAAGTCCCGGGGCTAACACAGACAAGTAATACGGGCTAATATAAGTTATAAGAAGCTCAGGCTTCTTATTAGCCAATCAGTTTGTAATTAATGCAGACCTCTGTGTGATTATTTGGGACTAAACGAATGTGGGACATGGTGGGACAGAAACCTCTGTCAACAAGAACTCACATTAAAAAACAAAAATGTGACCTGGGCAGTGGTAGCACATGCCTTTAATCCCAGCACTTCAATCCCAGGAGGCAGAGGCAGGCGGATCTCTATGAGTTCCAGGACAGCCTGGTCTACAGAGTGAGTTCCAGAACAGGCTCCAAAGCTACACAGAAAAACTCTGTCTCAAAAAACCAGAAAAAAAAAGCCGGGCGGTGGTGGCACACGCCTTTAATCCCAGCACACGGGAGGCAGAGGCAGGTGAATCTCTGTGAGTTTGAGGCCAGCCTGGTCTACAAGAGCTAGTTCCAGGACAGGCTCCAAAAGTTACAGAGAAACCCTGTCTTGAAAAACCAAAGAAAAGAAAGAAAGAAAGAAAGAAAGACCAGAAGAAGAAAAAAAACCATGTGGATAGCACCCAAGGGATCATGCCTGAGTTGTTGTCCTCTGGGTTCTACACACAAGGACACACATATGCAACAAAAATGAATGTATTAGAAAATACTCATAACTCACTCACCCCCCCCCATTCAATACCTCTAGTGTACAATACAACGAAGATCTTGTCATGGGGTACCCAGATAATTGGAAAGTGTGTGTTTGTCCTTTCCCCTCTCCCTTGGATGTAACTCCTTGAAAGCAATCTGCCCTGTAACTATCATTTATCCCCAAATAACTCTTGGCATTTGATCTGTATATGTAATTGAACTACAAATACTTCTATCATATCAAATTGAACATTTCTTGCAGATTTAAAACATTGTATTAAAAGTCTCCTCTCATAGATTACATATTCTCTCTTTCCCCCAAGACAACAGTGGCCCTGGTGTCTCTCAGCTCTTGCTTACTAGATGTCTTTGTTTATTTCCTAAATATCTACGTGCTGAAGAAATGTCTCTGTTCTCTTCGTATATTCTCTTGAGAAACACGGACAATGAAACAAATGAATATATAGCACAATGGCCTGTGTTCTAAAGAAAGTGAGGTGATGGAATAGTGTGTGTGTGTGGTGTGTATGGTGGGTGTGTGGTGTGTATGTGTGTGTGCTGTGTATGGTGGGTGTGTGGTGTGTATAAGTGTGTGCTGTGTGTGTGTGATGTGTGTATGGTGTGGTATGTATGTGTGTGTGGTGTAAATGTAGTGTGTGTGTGTGTGGTGTGTAGTGTGTGTAGTGTGTATGTGTGGTGGGTGAGGTGAGGAGCAAAACTCTGTTCTAAGTGCGCTGTTCAATGAGGATCTCTCAAAGAGGTATTGAAACAGAAACTTGATTTAGACGCAGGAAGGAGAGAAAACGGTGATGTTTGCAGGAAAAAGCAAGTGCTAGGCCAGCTAAAATGCTCTGAAATTAAAGGTTTTTTTTTAAAAAAAAAAGATTTATTTATGATTATTCTATGTGCATGTACAACTGTATGCCAGAAGAGAGCATCAGATCCCGTAATAGATAGTTGTGAGCCACCTTGTGGTTGCTGGGAATTGAACTTAGGTCCTGAAAAGCAGTCAATACTTTTAACTGTTGAGCCATCTCTCCAGCCCCCTAAAAAAATTTTGTTTTGTTTGTTTTCTTTTTCAAGACAGGGTTTCTCTGTAGCCCCAGCTGTCCTGGAACTTGATCTGTAGACTAGGCTGAACTTGAACGCAGAACTCAGAGATTCACCTGCCTCTGCCACAGTTGCTGGGATTAAAGGTATATGCTACCACTGCCCAGTACTTCTAACATAGAATAAAGGAGAAATAGGAAGAGAGTGATCCGAAAAGCCACAGAGGTCAGACCAGAGGACCTCGTTGGCTGGGAAGCACTTTGGATCCTGGGCTGCAACAGGAAAGGAAGCAGAAGGCAGATGATGGACGGGCCCTCTGACATTGCGCGGTGAGAGGGGTTCATAGCTCCGCTGAGGGTAGTAAGCATGAAGGTCGTGGTGAATGGATGGAGTCTGGGAACCTTTCAACTGCACTCACTGAAGAACCGAATATGGAAAAAGTGAGAAAGAGGGGTCAAGGACTCTTCTTGAAGGTTCATCTCGGCCTGTTGAGAACTCTCGGCCGTACCAAATTGCCAGCACCCTCCCCAAAACTCAGTTTCCTGGTCCTCTACCTGGACCTCCAACCTTGAACCTCTGCAGTCAGTAATCCCTTGTCGGTTTCCCAGATTTTTCCTTCTCACCCTGCCTCTCCTCCACCATCCGGATGCCTAGCAACCTCCTCTTTCAACTTTCGGCCTACATCTCCATAGCGGATTCCCAGCATTGGGTTCTTCCTACATTCCACACTTAGGAAACATACACAATATGCAAAGAATTATGCCAGCTGCCGGATAGGGAGAGAAGGCCACCGTTAAAATGCCTGTGTCTCCCAGACACAAAAGAAACGACGGGATGAAGTAAACGTAACTGTGAACAGGAATTTGGCCCCTTCAAGAGATGAGAGGCAGGCGCAGAAGTGAGCTGAAAAGGGACTCGAAGGGGACAAAGACATCGGCTGGGAGGACAATGCAGAAGACAGACCCCTGTCAGCAAATCCACCCTGTGTCCTGCCTATGCAGTGGCTGCTTGCTTCACCTCTACACCCCAACTTCCCAATCCCCTTCTAGACTGGCCTGGAACAAGGAAGGTAAATTTCGTGAATCTTAGAAGACTTTCCCTTCTTCATCAGGGAGCTCAACCCAGGCTGCCCGTGCAGCCAGATGGAGAAACAACAAGAAGAGGAACTGGGGCTGGGTGGGCTAAAGACACAGTCCCTAGGAATCCCAGGCAAGTACCACTGTTAGGCACGGAGGACCCTGGTATCTGAGTTTCCTACTTCGAGAGAACCAGGGAATCTAGACTAGATTTTCTAGAATCCTTCCTAATGTCTAATTTGTTAAATGTTCATTATTTTGTGTGCACATGTGTCTGTGCTTGTGGGGAGGTCAAAGGACAGCTTGCAGGAGTTAATTCTCTCCTAGCATGTGTGCTCTGAAGATCAAACCCAGGCTTGGCTGCAACCTGCGCTCTATGTTATCGCTTTGGTAATCTTGGGGACTGACCTTGGGGCTGCCTACATGCTCAACAAGTGCTCTACCAATGAAATATGTCCACAGCCCTCTTTTCATTTTGAGACGAGACCACTAAATTACCCA